AGTTTAGAGAGAATTAGAGTACGAGATAGTCAATATATAATATGATATTCGGGTACACGAATAGTCGGGTGCAAGTTTCGCTATCTTATACTATTTTATTAGATCACAATAAATAAATACGAAGGACAAACAATTGAAATAACAATAAGAACGACTAAGATTAACTTAATTGACAATTAAAATTAATTAAAATAGTGTTTTTAAGTATATAATTTGTTTTTCTATCTTGAATCTACATTAGCAATAACTTGGCATGGAAGTTGAATATGGAGCATTCCATGTGAAAGTAAATTACCCATTTTTTAAATTTGCTCTGGATTTTGACAAAATTCATAATAATCGAATAATGTGAAATAAATGTTATATTAAATCATACGATTTAAAAAGATTAATTAAAGTGAAATAAATAAAATAATGTTTTTTTCAAATTATTATTTCAAATGAATAATTAATGTAAACATTTATTAATATAATTAATGCTAAATAAACGTGACATATCGCTTGTTACGAATTCAAACACTTTTTATATATGCGTTCACGAGAAAAATAGATAACAATATCTGTTTATGGTCTTCGTTCTTCAAACTCTCATTACAGGATCTCTAATTTATTTTCATTTTTAATTTGCTTGACGTATGAAATATCGTCACAATTCGTTACAATTTATTTTGTAAACAAAGCTGATAAATTGATAAATATTTCGTTCGAAAAACGACCCCGAGCAGCAATCACTTTCAATCTCATCAATTTTTTTATGACAATTGTAACAAACACTGCAATGTTTTATAAACATTTTCAAAATGATAACAAAATTATGAAAAAAAATTACAGATTATTCTAAATTAGATTCAAAAATAATAATACGATAAATTTGATGACAATTTACTATCTTATAATTATTTTATTATCTTATTATTATTTTAATAAATAATAGTATTTTTTAAATATGTGCTCTAATAAAAATATATGGAAATGTATTATACAATAAATTATATTATACAATAAATTATAAAAATCTCAATTTTTTAAATATAAGTATAATACATTCAAGATTATTTACGTAAAGTTACATTGCAATGCATGAATTAGTTCTCCAGTAAATAAACAATTCATTTGTTCTATATTTTTGTAACTAATCAGTGAATCGCAATGAAACTTTGGATAAATTATTTTTAATATTTAAAGTACTAAAAGAAAAATATAAATTTTTTTATCTGTTTTATTTATTTTTAAAAATTTTCATTTTTATCAATAAAATAATAACAAATAAAATAAATAAACTACAAAAATATGTTATTAAACAAAATAATAATCTTATTCACACAACTTTCATACATGTATAATTTATTTGAAGTATAAAATTAAACATGTTTCCAAATTTAATTTTCTTTGCAGGGACTGTACGTGTGATATATCCTTAAAAATAGATATCTATAAAAAAAAAACAATTTTAAATGCTATATCACAAGTCATCTCCGGTTCTATTAATCGCAGATAGCTCTTCATAAATGCATAAATGCATTTTTTTCGTTATAAAGTCTATTTCAAATAATATCTTATCTCAAATTTCTTCGTTCGAAATATCGGAAACATTTGCGGAAGCAAAATACAAAAATTGGCATTTAAGATATTTCTTACTTTTTTAAATTAAAATTTAAACCGTTGTATTTCCGAAATTATTTGTCGCACAGAGCTCCACTTGGTCTCAAATTATTTATATAAAAATAAAGGAAAAAAAGTATTGACTTTTATTAATTTCTGCGTTTCATAGTTATAACACAAAAAGAGAAAAATCATACATTTTCAGCTTATATTACTCTCTTCGACTCTGATCGTGGACGCAAAATAAATCCTACAATACTTACACTTAAATAAAATATTTAAAACAATAAAAAATAACTTTTTGGGAATTATTTTCTTTTTAAAAGTCTAAAATGATTATTTCACGTGCCACTATTTTAAATAAATTTATTATTATTAGATACGATCATGTTGTCAACTGAACAAATTTTGCAAAGAATTATTTAACATTATTTAATGTATGTTAATGATATATTTTAACTATTTTTGCGGTATCATGATGATCAATTTCTTTTTGACTTTGACTCCTAGCTCGCAATTTTTATTCATACAAAACAAAATTAACCAGTCTTTATAAGAAATATCATTCTAGTTATCGAAATCATATAAACTTATTATTTTGATTAAATAAT